TAACACAAATTTAATCCGACTCAACCAAATTCGAACTCAAATTTATAAAAATGATTCAATAATATCAAAATGAAACTTATCATGTTAGGTCAAATTGTTATTCATATATACACTAGGTAAATAATATCGTTTTGATTCGATTAAATTTATTAAATTTTAAATAAAATATATTAGAAATTACTAAATTATATTTGAATGAACATTTTGAGCATTATTTTTTTAAATAAATAAAAAGTAATTATTAAATTTATTGAATTGTATAAATTAATTATTATGATATTATAATAATTGTAAAAGTTTGATAAGTTTAATAGTTAGTTTATAACAGTTTGATAAAATTTAATAATTATTTTTTTTAAATGAGGTTTTGTATGATTTTATTCAAACACTAATTCCCAAACTAATGTGCTCATCCGATTAATTTTTCAAATGGGGTGTTTTCTACAATAGATTTTGGATCTCTCGACGTCTTCAAGGTTAAACCAGATTTTTTTGGGTCTTGCTTGGGATCTCCAGCGTCTTATTTGGGATTTCCGGTGTCTTGAGGATGTTGGATTGTTTATGGGGATCTCTAGGCGTCTTTGAGTGAAATCAAGAAAAAATTTGGCTTTTTTACACAAATATCACCTTAACATAAAGTAATTACTTGTTAGGCACTGTTTAAAAACATTTTACAATCTAACAAAATTTTAAGAATACCATTTTAAATAATATGAAAAGTTTTGATATTTTATAAATTTATTTAATTATAAAATATTTAAAAATATTATTTTAAAATATAACACAAGATATACACATCTTTTAGGATGGATTTATAAATTTCTATCTTATAACTTACGAGATTCATGATAAAAGACACTTTCATTTTCATTAAATTTGTGTAAAATACACTTCTCGATATATTATTGTAAATATATGTTAACTATTTTTTATTTAATTTTAATTTAAGTTGTATATAATTTTGAGATATTTTTTCTTTTTTCCTAGACACCATAAAATAATAGCACGACAATAACGATTTAATGATTTATAAATATTAAATTAAACTGAAATTTAATATTAAGTTGTACAAAACTAAAAACTTATATATTTTATTATACATTATACTAAAGTTCCGATATATTTTTGACCGATACTTTTTGGTATTAAAATATTATTGTAAAAAGAAGAGAGAATGAGCTATAATGAAAACATCATTAAGTAGTGTGCCACTGATATTTTAGGTGAATTATATATTGAGTAAATTTATATAAAATTTATAAAAATTTTATAGAAAGTATTTAAAAATTTGTTAGATCCGTAAAATATTCTTAAACAGTGCCTAACAAATAATTAATTTATATTAAGTGATATTTGTATAAAAAGGCCAAATTTTTTCCTTTATAACTTAAAACGCCTAGAGATCCCCATAAATAATCTAACACCCTCAAGACGTCGAGATATTTCAAACAAGACGCTTGAAGACGTCGGGAGATCCCAAGTAAGACGCAAAAAAAAATCTGGTTCAACCCTGAAGACGCCGAGAGATCCCAAATATACTGTAGAAAATACCATATTTAGAGAATTAATCGGATGATCACGTTAGTTTGGGAATTAAACATTCTCTGTAGCGTTATCTGGGCACTTTTGCCCACATATATAAAGGGTTTGCTAAAATTTAATAATTATTTTATAACAGTTAAAAAAATGTAATGGTTGTTTTATAGCAATTTGATAAATTTAATAATAACTTTATAACTTTTGAAAATTTAGTAATCCAAACAATTATTTGAGTATAGTTAAGTGATATCTAGTGTATTTTATTCTTAAATCTTTTGAACTTTTATTTTTATTTGATCCAAATTTTAATTTTTCTTTTGAAAAATAAAATTGTTTTAATTTTATAACATTTATTTAATAAAACTTTAAAGTTTTCTATGTAATTTTTTAAAGAAATAAAGGCAATTAATAATTTACACACGATATTCTTAATTACTTTTGTTATCCAAAATATAAAACAGTATTTTATTATAAAATCTAAAGTTAATTATATAAATTAACAAATATAACTCGGACGCGAGTAGTTGCACGTTCGACGCGGGTGGTTGGTTCATTTTACTTTCATTATTATGCGTCGAGAAAGAAACAGAATATTCTCCTCCGTGTCAATTAAGCTAAGTCGTGAATTTCTACTTTAATTTCACTTTTGGAAGACTTAAATTTCCAGCATGTTGTATTATAATCTTTAGGCCTAATTATGGTCATAATCCCTGTATTCTTCTGTATAATTGAAATCTGCTCATAATCCAATTAATTCTAACGTAAAAAACTTATGATAAATTAGATTATGTAACGATTCTTTTTATGTGTTCAAGTGACCAATTGAAAGCCGCGTAAAAGTCATATAGGTAAAATTATACAAAATAGTCATTCAATTTACTTCTCTGGTTTGACACCAAAGAACTTTAAAATCCCATACTTAAAATCAGAAATTTTACAAATTAGAGATAATAACGAGCAGTAGTGAAGTTTGGTGATAGAGTTGGGGTCAACTTAAAAAATTTAAAGGTTTAGATTAAAATTTCTTTAAATTTTTGAAGGGTTCAATTTACATTTTTCCCCATAAAAATTGGGGTCTAACTAAAGTTTTTGAAAATTTGAGAGACTTTATGAGAATTTTTAAAAAATATGGGAGAGGATTAATTAAGAATATTTAAAAAAAGATTTTTGTGAGGGCCAAATTAATTTTTTTTTAAATTTTAAAGAACTAAATTATAATTTTTCAAAATGTGGGGGTTGTGGCCTCCACTAGCCTCCATTGTGTTCCGCCATTGATTACGAGTATAGTTGAGTTATTTTTTCGATCAATTTGATCAAAATCGAGAAGCATACATCATCGACACGAACAAAATTTGATCCTAGTTTAAGGAGATCACATTTGAATCGATTTCAATTTGTATTTGATTCGACTAAACACAAATATTTAAAAATAATATTTTTTATTTAGTAAAATATAAACTTAATTGAAAAAACTAGAAAGATAAATATTATAACAATTATCTATAAATGTATAAAAAAGATATATCATTATTAATAATCGAGTTAGATAAATATTTTTTATCCTAAATCCGATTTCACCCTTCATAAAACTTGACTCCATCCAGTGTTTTTTTTAAGGAAACAATCCCACTTACAACCTCATATTTGAGATATTAGTTTATTTATTTAGTTTTTTTCGCAAGTGTAATATTATTCACATACAGACTTGATCAGGGTTGGCTTATCCGTATGAAATTTGATAGCATTTGAATAAAAATACTAAATTTAAAAAATGAGTTTAGACGAATCAAGTGGTCTCGATAGTTAAATGAAATGTTGTTCTTTTTAAAGGTGTCGGGTTCAAACAGCTGCGTCTGCATATGCATTATCCATGATTAAAAAAGATTTTAAACACATATTACCTTATAATTATTCTAAATTATTAAAAAAAATATGGGAACCAAATTGAAAAACAAAATTAAGGGAACAAAAAATCCCTACATGTTTCCAAAATTTCAACTAAAAATGAATTAATTATATCACATGTGTTCAAATCATTCCCTTAAACTATAACTCCATTCTAAATTAGTTCTCAATTTTTGAACATTCCAAATGCATCCCCAAGCTATGAACCCTATTCTAAATTGGTCCCTAAACTTCTAATTATTTCAATTTCATCTTAAACTATTAGTATATGCTAATCACATCCATGTTAAAAACCATTAGGCCAAACTATATTATTATATACTTGAAAAAAAATTACGTTAAAATATGATTGAAACTAATTACATATTTGGATGAATTCGGGGATGAAACTAGAAGATTCAGAAGTTTGTAGATTAATTTAGAGTGAGGGTTACAATTTGAGGATAAAATTAAAATATTAAAAAATTAAAGATAATTTAGAATGAGAGTTATATTTTAAAAAATAAAAATATATTTTAAATAAATGTAATAATTTAAAAATGTATAAGGCAATCAATTCAGAAACATATTTCCAAATTTTGATTTCAATGTCGGGGATTTAATAACGTGGCGATGTTCTGTTTTGGTAGGTAAGACTCTCTAACCTCACGTCTTATCTTAATTCTTAAACAATATAATTGGATGAAAGAGTAATTAGTACTAATCTTGTACTTAAAATAACTTTCTAATTTTCAATGAAAGAATGTTTCTTTTATGTCATATACTTTTAATGAGTAAGCACTATCGTAGGATCCGTGGCGCAATGGTAGCGCGTCTGACTCCAGATCAGAAGGTTGCGTGTTCGATTCACGTCGGGTTCAAATTCCCGATCCTAGTTGATTCCACTTTTTTGGTTTCCGCCTGATGAGCTCTTTCCTACCTTGGCACGGAAAAGGTTTTCTGGGTCTTTCTGCTGAAGGAGTCCTTGCACTTGCGTCCTTTGTTGAGGTAATGCCTGAACCATCTCCACCCTGACTATTTATTTTATTCCAACTACTCAAGTCGTTATGAGGAGCCTTCCTTTGAACTGTTGTCTTCCTCATGTTCTTAGGCTCTAAAGTTAACCTGGAGCCTTTTGTTGCCACTATATTGATTCCCTCCCTTGATTTCATATTTAAAAACTTGCTGCTATCTGTTGGGTGAATGGCTTCGAAAGGAGTGGTATTTCGATAACTTAAATCATATTCCAACTTTGATTTTCTGTGAAATACATAGAATGCCACATCAATCATAAAATGATAATCAGGAGGTACCATGGTAGCCAGAAAAGGGAACTCTGAAAACAAAATAATACACAAGGGACAGCAAGACCATTTGATTGTAACAGAACAAACAACAAACTAAACATTTGAACACACAGTAGATCAGTTATTCGGATGATAGGAGGGCTGCAACAAGTAGTTAACAGCCAGCTTATAACTCTCTTTTTCAATTCTGATGGATATAGAGGACAGACAAGAAAACAAAGATATGTAGTTGTTTCTCTTCATTTCCTACAGTAAGGAAGTAATAAAATTCTAAATTTCAAGCTCCAGAAAGAGGAACTAACCTGTACTCCTGTACTTTTGATGCATTTCCTGTCAAAACAGAAGAACAAAAATAATGATCCTCCAATTGGAGCACAAAAATATTGGAGGGAAAACATTGTAACGGCCAATCACAGAATAATGGAAGGTTGTCACATAGCTATACTTACCATGGCAAGATTGAAATCAATAAGATAACCTTTGTTGGTCTTACGAGAGAAAAGAAAGTTTCCTAGTTTCACATCTCTATGAACTATTCTCTGCAGATGCATAAAGAGACATTACGAACATGCAATTTTTTTTTATAGATGCATCACATCTAGAAAATCATATACCTGTCTATGAAGATTTGCAAGAGCTTTGAACAGGCAAAAAGCATACCACTTTAACTGAAAAACATCGATTTCTTTTTTCAACACCTGCTAAATGAAACAAGTCAACATCAAGCAGAAGAAAAAACAAACTATGGCTTCCAAGAATCTAATAATTACCTCAGGTCTATCATGCTCAACATACTGCAGAACAAAGCAATCAGAATTCTCACTCCTAACACATCCTTCATATCGTATTATAAGTTTCTGCCCCTGAAATTGACAAAGAAAATATGGAAGATTGGGGGAGGAGGAAGGAGAGCTTAAGAAAAACTGCTTCGCTTTTATAAACAAGGTTTTGTTTAAAGTGAAACAAACATTTTCTAAATGCATACCCAAGACGCTCCAGCATTTTCAGCTCATTGTTAACATAGATCTTATGAGCATTGGCATGAGGACCTGCAATGAGATAAATAAGTGATATAACATCAGGGGAATGAACCATACGTGTAATACAATAAGAGTCCTCATTGCGGCACAGCAATGCAATCACATGTATGAATTTGCTTCTTACATTTAAGGGCAACTAAAGCTCCATCATTCTTCCTTCGAGCTCTATACACAGTGCCATAACCACCTGCCAATTAAAGTTTCACCTTAGCCAGTTAATAAATCATCTTAATTATAAGCAGAACAACTGTGATGTGATACGCAAGCAAGAAAATTGAAGCTATGATACCTGAACCTTCTTCCTCTTCTACAATATAAGAATCAAAGTTGGGTAATTGGCTTTGCCTGATCCTAAAGCAAGCAAGATCAATATTTAAGTTATAATTAAAATTATGCACAGCAGCAAACTCAGGCTCATTGAATAGACACCACTTGCAAAAATGAAAACAATTGAACATCAAACATGAGACAGAAAGTTACAAATGGCGAAGTGAGCTTACCTGAAAAGAAAAAGATGTAGAGTTACCCCTTCTCTCTTTAACATTTATATCCTTTTGATTTCTGTGCAGCCCGGGATGGTAAATTATCTTTTACACCATGCCTCCTTTTGTAAGTACTGACAACATCGGTACTCCCTAAAGGCTTGTTCAGGGTCTGCAATACTGGAGGCACAACATGCCTCTGGTTCACCTTTGCTTTTGTAGAAGGTTCTGTCAACTGCTCTTCCGTAACAGAATGCATAACCCTAGCTGCTGCTGGTATTATCTCACATTCCTCACCTAGGGATGGCATCTTATTCAAATCTATTTCAGGCGGTATATCAGAAAGGTTGATGTTAAATGAAGGAGAAAGATCTTCCACTTCTTGTCTTCTACTTGCCAAATCAAATTTCTCCCCTTTCTTACTGTCTTCCATAGCCACTTCATCGTCTGCAATTCTAAAATATGTAACGGTAAAATCCATATGAAATTTTCCACCTGACATATTGCTGTTCTCAGCAAACTCCATAGAGTTTATACCATTGAGTTTAACAGCCTTGTTTCGATCTCATAAACTGGTTCTACAGTTAGAAAGATTGGTTCTACAATTGACTCACTAGCAACAAATTCTTTACTGGCATTTCCTAGCATATAGTCTGGCACTTTCACCTTGCTTTCTACATTTTCAATGCCCTCCACTTCACGGCTTAATTGTCCAGTACTAGATTCGGCTAACAAACAGGAGTTCATCCGAGTGTTTTCTACCAAGACCAAAGGACTACTCATTCTGCTGATATCATCAGTTAAATGACAACTTACCTGAAATTTTTATTTTGTTCAGTTAGTCTTTGAAGACTATCACTCTAAAATGAACAATTATTACTAAAAGCATATTTGCTTGATGGCATTTCCAAATCAAAGGTCTACAATTGTCATCATAAACTGAAAATACATTCAGATCGATCTAAAAAATACTACAATATTACAGTTCCATGGAGTAAATATACAGATCTTTTGTGCAAAATAAGCTCAAAAATACCTTTGTACAATAATTTCGAATTCTCTTAACCGAAGGAACCAACTCCCTTTCCTCCTCATCCTCGGAAAATTTAGCAGCTGAAATATAACTTAAAGGTCAACCAAGGAAGCATAAAACACGAAATTACACCAAAAACGAGAGTGAAAAAAATATATAAACAACCATTTTTTGGAATTTACCGAAACGGACCGACAGCGAAGTGAAAGCATTGGCGAAGTAGCACGATAAAAAAGTAACTTTCATTTTACATTTTACTCAAAAGCTCATCCATATAAAAATATAAATAAATAAATTACAGGATTAATATTTTTATACATTTTTATTAAACTTAAAAAATATATTATTTAGTCATTTTTGTTAAAGATTGTTGATGTAACACAATAAAACGCATTTTTACCTTAACAACCTCAAACGATTCGTTTGATAACAGACAAAACTAGGCATCAATTTCACTTCCACGATCACTATTGGCTTCCTCGACACAGTAACACGACTTGACTGCACCATTCGATATCCAGATTCTTACTTCTGGCATTGATCTTGAAGATCTTTGTTCTTGTCGACATCATTGTTGTGAATGTATGTCCATGTCTTGAGGAACATTGTCCAAAACAAAAGGTCTACTAGGAGAATGCTGCAACTAACCCCAATCGAGTTCTCTGCATTCAAAATGAGTTACCTGTTAAACATTGTTAGATACGACGGTCGACAATCAATTGTCCCGAGAGTTCAAACAGATACGAAAGTGAGCATCATCATTCGAACTTGGTAACTGTTAACGTCAGTGTTAATTTACCTGAACATAGAACAGTGAGGAGAACTGCGGATTCTATTCATCAATGTCTTTCCAAGAAACAAGCTGAGCTTCGGCCTTTTCCCTTTGCTTCAAATCGATAAACACCGAAAGATTCATTTAAATTGTTTCCTTGACGAGTCTTAAGGCGGAATCATTGGACACAATCTCCAATTCTCCATCGTTTTGCTCCATTTTCCTAAGACGACCACAAATTATAGGTTGCTCCAACAACGCTCTCGCAAGTGTATCTTTACAACTAGCTAACCTGAATCTTCTTCCTTTTCTCCTTCGTGTAGTATTTATATAGATACTTTAGGGATAACAACAAAGCCATCACTGTGGCTTGCCATTTTGGGAAAGCTTGTGAATGGAACAGGTTACTTCCTCACTAATTGTGATGGCATTTATATAGATAATTTGGACCTGAATAAGTTCTTATTTGATAGGTTTGATATTCGAATTATCCGAAATGTTTGATCAAGGCTGATTTTGATGGTGTACCTAACGCACTACAATAATTCATAAAAGGAAACAGACTTGTCTACCTCAGTGTTTTCCCATAATAAAATTTAAAAATATTAATAATCGACTTCGGCTAAGGGTTCCATGGTGTAGTGGTTAGCACTCTGGACTTTGAATCCAGCGACCTGGGTTCGACTCCCGGTGGGACCTTCCTTCTTCTACATAACATTCGGCTTTTTGGTTCAGTTTGAACATTTTTCCTTCTGTCTCGGTTGATTCCATAGAAGGCACATGGGTCTGAATTGAGGTTTAGTCAAAAGACTCCTTCAAGCCAGATGTGGTTTGTAAAACAAACTTAAAATAATCACAGGAAGTCATCGTCAATTTCCGTACATTTTTATAACCTTTAAGCCTCAGAATCGGAAGATGTTGGTTACTTAATAGTACCTACGAATCAGATTGCAGAAGATGTTAGTTAGTAAATAGTACCCACTGGCTGCAATATTCTTTCTTTTAATGGCAGAGTTCAACCTTCAACTTTTAGCGCACTTACGAAAATAGTGCATAGAAAATGAATGTGTCCATAATCTAAACTTATAACAAATGTCTCATTCATCTTCACCACGCAGCAAGTCCCACTACCCAAGTATAGCATACCGAGGAACAAGACAAACACAACCACAAGTCATCTTTAATTGCAGTCTTTATACATCTAATTTCACCTAACTCGACATGGTAAAGAGAATATTTTGAGTCATATCGACTTTGACAATTAATTATACTTTTTTATTTCTTATGGCAAGAGAACAATTATTCATTTCCACTTCATATCTTTTTTTCCGGAAGCCGTCCAAGACTAATGATATTGTTTTTCAAAGCAGATACATAATATACATCTGAGATGTATTTCTTTTCGTCATTTCTCTAAATTATCATGACTTCTCATTTGCCTCTGACTTTTGCGTGCGAGTCGTCACCAAATGTTACTCGTCCATGGATTGTATCGTCTAACTTCACGAATATGTCATTTCGACCACACATGTGGTTACTAGCACAATTATCAAGATACCAAATATTTTTCTTAAACTTTTCATTTCATTTGCAAGTGAGGAATACATGAGATTTTTCAATTTTTTTCTTCTTCAGCTTCTGCTGCTTTATTTATTTCTTCATGTTTAGGAACTGACCGATACTCGTAATTACATTGATCATATTTTTTACAATTATAACATTGTATCTGTGATTTATTTCCTTGTTGATATTTGTCTCGACCTCAGTCTCTAAATCCTTGTCCACAACCAAATGTTTGGTAATTTTCAATTGTTTGAGTGATGTCATATGATCGACCTCCACGTCCTCGTGTTCTTCTTCCACCTCTATTTCTTTCACGACACAACGATTTCCTCGAGCTCTTGTGTAGCTGTTGCTAGCTTCTCATTCATTAACATTCATCTTGCTTTGAAAAGCTTGCTTTAAATTTATCTTCATTTTGCTTCATTTTATGCTCATGGGGTTAGAGTGAACCCATAAGCTCATCGATCAAAATTTGAGATAAATCTTTTGATTCTTCGATTGCTATAACCATATAACCAAATTTGCGTCTTAACGGTCGTAAAATCTTTTCTATCACTCTGGCTTCATCGAGTGATTCACCATTCCTCTTCATTTCATTTACTACTGTTTTTACACGGCTAATATAATCGTCAATACTTTCTGTATTTTTCATTTTTAATATTTCAAACACAGCTCTAAGAGATTGTAAACGTACTTTTTTTTACTTTTTCAACACCTTAGAGAGATTTTACAAAAATATCTCAAGCTTGTTTTGCGTCTTTGCATCGAAATTTTTTTCAAATATAGATCCATCTACTATTTGAAAAATGAAGAATAACGTTTTTTATCCTTTTTTCGGGATTCCTTTAGTATCCTTTTCTCTTCATTTGATAAGGCTGCTATGCTGCTACATTTTCGAGCTCGGCGTAACCTTCTTCGACAATATCCCAACAATCTTGGGAATCAAGTAATGTCTTTATTTGAATACTCAAATTTACATAATTCGTCTTTGTCAATTTCAGGATTTGTGCTGAATAATGTTGGTCATCTTCTCCACCAAGCTCTAGATACCACTTGTTGGAAGTGTAGATGGGTGCTCAGTAATTTTTATAACTCACATTATTATTAATGCGAACCAAAATACAAATACAAATACGAACACAACACTTACTATGACTAGTTTATAAACACAAACCCGCTATCAAAAGTTTTTTTAAGCTTCACTCTGTATCTCTCTAATTTTTTTTTTTCACTCGTGTATTCATAAACTAAACTAAACACACACATATATAATGTTAGTAAACCGACTAATTTACCCCTATAGTTGCTGCTACTTTCTTCCCGCAAATACCTGCTTGCCTTTGGTGAAACTTTTCACTTGTTTGCCACCATACTAGAAAGATCTAGTTACTACTTCAAAATGTTGCCACGTTTTGCTTTGCTTAATCTCATGGAGCTTTGTTGCCATGCAAATAGCTACTGCCTCCATTTTAGTTTCTAAGTGGGCTGCCGACATATGTAGGGGTATAAACGAGCCGAATCGAGTTTGAGTATTGTTGAGCTCGACTCGACTTGAAAATTTTAAAACAAAGCTCGACTCGACTCAAAAACTCGTGAGCTTAAAATTTTCAAGCTCGACTCGAACTCGAAATCCTAAACTGAAGCTCGTGAGCAGCTCTAAAAAGCTTGAAATGAAAAAATATATTAAACTTAACTCGATTGAAGCCTCAAACTCAAACTCGAACATGAACCTTAAATACAAGAAATCTTACTGTATTTTTTTATTAAAAAATCAATACATAAATATTATTAATAATTTATTTCTAAAAAAATAAAATTTTAATAGATTATATTTTCGAGCTGCTCACGAGCTTTTCGAGTCGAATATCGAGTAGCTCGTTTAGGCTCGTTAAGAACTCGAGTCGAGCTCTAGCTCGAATCGAGTCCATTCGATCCGAGTATTTATCGAACATTGATCGAGTCAATCTCGTCTTATTTACAACCCTAGACATATGAGTAAAAATCATGTTTCACTTCTAACAATCAATAACTAAACTTCAACTATTAAATTTAAAATACATCAACTTAAAAATAATTTTATTATAGAATGAATTTTTTTTTCTTAGAAAATTTCGAGAGAGAAAAAATACCCCAAACTTATAATTTAACAATACATGATTGCACTAACCATGTGGATTCCTTTGATTACCTTTGCTACGTCACACATCATTTTCCCATCACAATTTACGTTTAACAACGGATAAAATATTAATGATTATTTAGGATGCTTTCATTTTGATCGCTAAATTTTAAAATTTTAATTTATTTTTCTTGCTATCTATATTATTAGAAAATCATTAAAAATTATTTCAAATTAGTATGTGTCGCTCTTTTTTGTCATTGTTTCTACAGTTGTTTGATGGTTTCTTCCGTCGACAAGAAACTGGCTTTCCCTCTTCTTTCTATTTTTTTTATCCAAACTCGTCAAAAAAAACTTTCAAATATCCTTTAAATTTTAATTGAAATTAAAAGTTAAATCTTTTTAATTTATCACTATCTAACGAAAAATTTGTTTGAAATTGAAATATGTTAATTTTATAGTCAAATAAAATTTTATCATTTTTGAAATTTGACCGATTATTTTGTTCATCGAAAACTCGTCAAGGATAAAATGATTAAATTTCATTTTTTCTTTACTTATTTTTATTGTTGTTTATTATCCATTGTTATCGATAGTTATGTTTATAAACAGTAATAAAAAGGCTTAAATATACAAAAAGTGATTAATTTATGCTCTCTTTTTTAATTTAGTGTTTAATATTTATTTTGTTCTAATTTGGTGTCTAACGTTTTATTCCGTTACTCAAAATGGGTCAAGTCATGACGGACTGCTATTTTTATCTATTAAGTGAAACGTGTCACAATCTCGTAATTTTGAAATTTATTTTTAAAAAATATTAAAATTATTATTATATTTATATAAAAAACTTTATTTCTTTTAAATTACAAAAAAGCCTCAAAATCCCTAAAATTCTAACACTAACTCCCCGTCGTTGCCCTTTCTAGCCACGACCACCGCCACCGACATACCCTTGTCATCATCCTAGTTATAAGTCGTCGTAGCTGTCGTCTATTGGTCATCGAAATCGCTTGGGATTGCGATTTTTATCCTAGGGTTCGCGGGGTATAAAACATCGATTCACTATCAATCAACTGTTGATTAATAATGATTTCATGGTTTGGTCGTCAGGGGGATGTGAGGTCGGGTGGAGCTTCTTCGACTAAAAAGGGTGACGATCGACATGGATTTAGAGGTTGAAATGAAAGTTTTTAAAGTTTTTGGGTTCTTTCGAAATTTATGTGTTCTTTTTTAAAAATATATATAATTTTGTTTTTTTAATTTTATATAAATTTTTTAAAATTATCAGATTGTGACACTTATCACTTAATGGAGAAAACTAATTGTCTATCACGGGTTGACTCGTTTTGAGTAACGGAATGAAATGTTAGGCACTAAACTAAAAAAATAGACATATATTGGACACATATTGTATATTTAAGCCTAAAAAAACATCAACAAAAAGTACGACAAAAATATCGTATGATTATCAATATAGAAGAAAAAACTTAGTAATTTTTAGGGTTTTTAAGTAAGCTTTTTTTTAGTGGAAGCTAATGACAGTGGTCTTAATGAAATAAATTAAAAGTTTAGTGATTATAATACATGTTTTAAAGGTAAGATGACTAAAGTGAAATTTATTTAACAGTTGAGTGACTATTAGTACAGTTTACCATTAAATAAAAAATAAAATAAAATTCCAACAATTTTGGCTCTTTTATTTATGACAACAACAAACCAACACGTAGCTTTTGCTTCTTCGAATTGTCCTTCCATCTCGCGGTAACAAAACTCCCTCCCTCTATCTTTCTCCGGCTACAATCTCAAATCATCGGTAAATCTCACCGTAAGCGCCCAATTACTCGTCACCTTCTTCATCTTAACCGACAGCTCGCGGTTTCAGTTTATTTTTAACCCGGCGTCATCATGAATTCCGAATAGTAAGTTCATATTTATTTCTTTTTCTTTTCCGAATCTTAGGAAGAAAACCTTTAAATTTTTAATTTCCTTTGAATTCAAGTTAAATTAGTTTTTAGTTTATTTTTTATGGATCTCCTTTCTTACTCTATAATTTCTTCGTTCTTTCGTTATCTTGATGATTGACTTCTTTGTGATTTGGATCCGATTGATTTCTTTTTCAGATCTGTTTATTGATTTTATAGCTATAAAAGTTGGTGATGGAATGATAATTGTAGCTAAAATTTGTGATTTTATAGAAGTTGTTTCTTAAGCTAGTTAACAGTTAATGGAGAATTTTAATATGTATAAAAGAAATTTATGCTTAAAGATGGAAATAATCAAATGAGTATTGATTGACTGTTGATATTTTCAAGTCCTAACAAGGAGCTTGGTTGCTTTATGTGTTTTCAATTGATCTACATTGAGATTTTGATTTTGAGGTTTCAGTTGATATACATCTCCTGAATTTGGTTTGTTTGTCTTATTGGCAGTGATTATTTGTTTAAGCTTTTGCTTATTGGAGATTCTGGTGTTGGCAAATCATGTCTACTTTTGAGGTTTGCTGTAAGTTCTTGGTCCATCTTTGATTTTAATCTTTTTAGATCTTAGCTTTGTGATTTTTTATCTTCTCATTTTTCAACCAAGATTAATCCTTCCAAACTCATTTTTCTTTAACTTTTGGAGACCAGGATGATTCATATCTGGAAAGTTACATCAGTACCATTGGTGTTGACTTCGTGAGTATCGTCTCAATACTTTTTATCTATTGGTTTGCTTGTTTGAAACATACTAGTAGTAACTGAATTCTGATCTGTGTTTCAAAACGCAGAAAATCCGTACTGTGGAACAGGATGGAAAAACCATCAAACTCCAAATTGTACGTCACTAATCTTTTCTCTTCTTTCTTTGATGAGTTTTGACTTACCAAAGTTATTGATTTGGAATGCTCACTGTGATCTGTTGCACGCATAGTTTTGGTCTGCTTTAACTGTCTTGCATTCATTCTCCCAGTTCTAGTCTATGGAATTCTTTGTTTAGGAGTTAAATCCTTATCTTTTCTCTTTCCTTTCATTTAGACTATATGATACCATTTATATATTCAAAATCCGTTTCTTTTCTTTTGATAATTTTTAATTGTTGATTTCCTTTTCATGCTTGTCTCTGGATATGCAGTGGGACACTGCAGGCCAAGAGCGCTTTAGAACAATCACTAGTAGCTATTACCGTGGTGCTCACGGAATCGTTGTAAGCCATTATCTATCTTTTTGTCTATGTTTTCTGCCCTTGTTTCTTTATTCAGGATTAAACTGTGTGCTGCTTGCTATCTTGGAAGGTTGTTTATGACGTGACGGACCAAGAAAGTTTCAACAATGTCAAGCAATGGTTAAATGAAATTGACCGCTATGCTAGTGATAATGTGAACAAACTGTTAGTTGGGAACAAGTGTGACCTGACAGCAAACAAAGTTGTGTCATACGAGACAGCTAAAGTAACTAGATTGCACATACGAAAGTGTTGCAAATTTATTTATTTTTTTTAGGTATCGAAAAAAATTCAAAGCTTTTTCTTCACTCATTTTTTCCTGTGTACAGGCTTTTGCAGATGAAATTGGGATTCCTTTCTTGGAAACGAGTGCAAAGGATGCCACTAATGTAGAAGAGACTTTCATGGCCATGGCTGCTGCAATCAAGAATAGGTACCTCTAACTGATGTCTTCCGCATTTCTTGATGAAGTGACACACGCACATATACAATTATCATGTATGTTGATGGTTGAGTTAGAAATCGGTATTAAGAAAATAAGGGTAAACTACACCTTTTTTTCACTCTATTTTGATCCTATTCTTGTTTTGGTCACTAAACTTTAACTTTTTTCAATTTGATCACTCAACTTTCGTAGTGCTCCATCTTTTGTCACTCAGGCGTTAAATTAGAAACAACATGGTGACATGACCTTTTTTTTGGATGATGTGGAAGCCACTTAATTTTTTCCCGCATTTCTCTTTTTTTTTTTCCATTTCATTTTTGTCACTCAAGCGTTAAATTAGAAACATGGTGACATGACCTTTTTTTTGCTGATGTGGAAGCCACTTAATTTTTTCCCGCATTTCTCATTTTTTCCATTTCATTATCTTTCCAACAACTTTAAAGCTCTTATTGTTTCATACCCGTCTCACACCGTCGTCGACACTGCTGCTCTTTGGCGTCTCCTCCAACTTCACAAATTTAGAAAAAAGTTTTGGGGCTTTTTCATAATTTTTAAAAGATAGATGCCTGTCATATCATACCACCGTTAAATAATTAATGGCGGATGTCTGAAATCGAGCAATGCCAAGGTTGAGTGATCAAATTGAATTTTTTTTAAGTTTAGTGACCAAAACAGGAATATGACTAAAGTTAAGGGACGGAATTTGTAGTTTACCCAAAAATAAATAGATGTTACATGTGGTAGATTTTTAGCTTGCTTGTTGATTGATTTAAATAAACTCTACTGTCAGTGCACAATAACATATACACTAGATATAATTTACTTATATTGGTGTAAGATATATTCATTTTTGTAAGTGAGGGTTAATATTTGTTTAATGATTGTATAAGCAGGATGGCAAGCCAACCAGGCGTGAACGCCGCGCGACCTCCATCGGTGCAGCTCAAAGGACAGCCCGTGAACCAGAACTCTGGTTGTTGCTCTTCCTAAAATAAGAATTAGTTTTAGTGGGTCCATGTGATGATAGTTGTCCTTTTGTGTCGTTGCATGTAGCCAAAGAAAGAACTAGTCCTCTTTTATGTCACTCGATAGGTCAAGTGGTTCAACGTGCTTTTAATATTTGTGTTTTACTTTAATACTCTCCTAAATTTCTATTCTTTTAACTTTATTTTATGAATACATTTTGTTAAAAATAAGAATATTTTAAATCCATTATTCCCCTTATCTGAATAAGCAAAGCTTTTCTTGTAATTATTTCTTGATCTGGTTTGTTTGTGGTGTATGAATCATGACTGTCTTTCATTTGTTTGTTCAGTAGACTAAACTAAGAATGATAAAATTGCTTAAATTTCACGAGTTTCGATTCAATCATAACATAAGGTCAGTTTTTGTTTTAAAAATTTTGAGTTTGAAGTAAGCCGTGTTTTATGAATGAAGAAGACAGGCTAGATTTAGGATAAAAAACATCGACTGGGTTTAAGATTTGATCGGCTGGAGATTACTCATTTTTAGTTTAGGATCGAAATGATAGAAAGTCCGATCTGTCTTGTCCTGTGATCATCTCTAGTATTAGCATATATCAAGAATAATGCGGTGTTAATAGATTTTAATTAAAAAAAATACACATTGAAAGTAAGAAGATTTTGATATCAAGCCAGACTTATCATCAATCCAAACGAAGTGAATCATTTTGATCATTTTAACGACAAGGAGGAAGATGAAACTTACCCGATGTGTCAGCACGCAACATAAGTTCATCTAACAATGATTATCTAGTAAAAGTTATAGTTTAAACACAAGCTATGCACTGCTAAACTATTGAGTATCATTAACAAAAGTATTGCGATAAATGATTAGGTACGATCGAAGAACATCCTTATTTTCATGTTTCTCATCAGGTTCATTTGCTGCGTTCTCCTTGCTGGGAGCCGCACCAACTTCCTCTCTAGCTTGTTTAGAATAAGACTTAAACATAATGAAAATTAAAATAAGAATTTACATGCGAACGCTCAAAATTTCAACTTTTAAAAACATAATCGAAGTTCAATGCCCAATTAATATTTTTTTTCCAAAAGATTATTCCTCAAGAGGACATTTTATATACACCTTCGGAATTATTATGGAATTTGATACTAAAATCTAAATAAAGAATATGTGTGTCTGTGAAATTTTTTTCATTAATAAGCTTAGCTCATTATTGAGATGGACTAGGCAAACAACTAGCCATAGGGAAGCTAAGTCTGTCCCTATCAAGGTTCAAGCTCAAGGCTTTGTGTGTATATAATTGTTTCATATTCGATCTTTGATCATGAAGCAATCTCGCTAAGCTTCTCTTGGCATTGGACCTGAACGGACAATTCGACGATAAGAATCCGTCCACTAAATGTAGATAAGCCTCTAGATCATGACAACATGCCATGTCAGCGTTCGATTTTAGATAAGGTGACACTTTTGTGTGGAGTTTCAATTCTGTTCCGGCGTGAGAGTACGTCCAAAGATTATCTTCTTCTTGTTGCTTGGATCTGTCACTTATGCGTACGTTTGGAAGGGCGGGAACCTTAGTGATTAGATCCTGATTGTTAACGATTCTCAGCACTTTAATGTTTTTCTCGTTAAGTCTATCAACGAATCCTTTGTTACCGACTTTAGGTCCTCCGAAAGAAAACACCGCGACTGGTGGCACGTCGGGCGCGCATGAACTTATTTCATCAGCAACTAAAAGTGATAACGCAGCGCCAAGACTATGTCCCGTGATTGTAATGCTAAGGTTCTCACCTTTGTACTTCTCCATCAACCTTTTCACTTCTTCGACCACTGATTCAGCCATGCTTTGCACGTGAGCACCGCGTGTTTTATGCAAGCTCAAGAATCCACATTCAACCCTTTGGGTCGGGTCATTAGATCCAGGGATTTGAACAAGTTGGGCTCTGAAATTTTCGGCCCATTCAAGGCACGTAGCGGTTCCACGTAAAGCAATAACAATATCCCTCCTCCCCATGCGGTGAATCTCACTTTTATCATCGCAAACCGCCACGTATCCGATCCAACTAGACCTTTGGGTTATCCACCCGAGATCCGGAGCCACATCGTCGACCCATTTAGGTAACCCGACCGACGAAGTTGCATAAAGACTCTTTGTCACCTTGTAACACCTATCGGGTAACGCCACGTGCCTCGGCAACGGAGCCTCCTCGGTCGACATAGCGGGGTTCGAATGAAAACTGTGGTAAGCTGCTTGAACGAATTCACCGTATCTAACGACTTCTCGCCGGAGATTCTCGTCGAGCGGATCCAGTAAACCGGACCAATCATTGCAACCGTGGTATTCTCTCCAACGAGAACCGAGGCTGTTCCTCGGAGAATACTCCATGGTTTTAGATAAAAGTCTCTTAAGCCTATTCAAATGGCGCGGAGACATCTCTTCGGCGGCTTTCATTTCAGGCCAAATCCTAGACAAATTAAGTCCTTCGAGTAAACCCTTACCTTTGGTTTCAACCGACGCACTGCGGGAAGCTTCGACGACTTTTTCTGCTTCGGGTTGGTTTGTTTTCTGTAGGATCTTTTCGAGGTTGGAAAGGTGGTCCCGAGTCGACTCAGTAGACGACGCTGATGAAACACATGAAACAGGCTTTTTAAAAGATGGATTCAGGGGTGATTTATGGCTCTTGAAACTTGCTCGTCTGATCTGGAAGACATTCAAGTTCTGAGCCGGAAGAGTCGAGCCGACGCCGATCTGCATGGATTCACTGAACCGGAAAATACAGAGGAAATTAAAGCAATTGAAAAGGCATTAGCTAAACTGCAAATCTAAAGAAGACCAAGTCGGATTGAAGTGAAGATATGAATCACGGGTTTATTTATAGACAAGGATTCCACTTTATACCCACACTTTACAACATAATTACATAGAGAACCTTATTGCCTAATAATGGTAATAATGAAAACATAAGAATTTGTCTGGTCTAGTTAACTTTTTATTTGGAGTTGAATTGACTGAAAGAACCCTTGGATTTGGCCTTTTCATTGAATATGACAACGTCAATAACAAAGTAAACATATCATTAAAAACGTAAATTATAAATTTCACCTTGAAAATATGACTTTCAAGGTGAAGTAAAGCGTAGGGATCTTAACCACCGTGTAACCGAGTAAGAGTTTATGCGAGTCGTGGGGAACCATGAAAACGTGAACACGCTTTTGTTTGGTCTTTTTCCCACTATAAATTTGCCACCAACAAATTTTATATGATTATTAAATCGGAAACAATATCATAGTTGTTAAAATTACATTCAACCTCGGGAATAACTAAATTATTAAATTTTAAATATGCAAGGGTTTATTAAATATTTGTGCTTAAAGTTTTAGAGTAAAAGTTTGTAGATTACAATGTTCTTAACCTTGAAGTTGTGGGATCGAGTCTCACGGAGGGTATTTTATAATTTGGAGGTCTCCCACGAAAGTTGGCGTTGGGGCAATCTACTATTCTACCTCCCCTTACCCATTATATATGGAATAAAGGGTCAGGTAAGCTAAAATGAATGTTGAGAAAATAACCTCATTGACCAAAAATGCTTTATAATATACGATTTTAACATTTTTTTGGATTTGCCAAAATGACCAACTAAATCGCAATGCGATCGATAATTCGCAACGCGATCTCCGGTATCGCAAATCAATTTCCAGATTCGCAGCGAACTTCGACTATCGCAATGCGAACTTCGACTATCGCAATACGAACTTGGACTATCGCAATGCGAATATGTAAATTGCAATGCGATAGTCGACTATCGCAATGCGAACTTACGAACTTGGATTATCGCAATGCGAATATGTAAATCACAATGTGATAGTCGAAGTTCGCGTTGCGATTTATTCCAAATTCGTTGCGATAGTCCAAAATCGCAACGACTGGTGGTATTGCATTTGTTTCTTAAGAATTTTCTCTAAAAAGATAGTATTCGCGGGGACGTATCGAAGACACGTATTACCACGACCACGACCACGACCCGACCGAGACGAGACGGCGGCGGCTGCGGCGCGCGAGAGTCCCCCTTGTTCTCTATCACTCAACAAGGAAGTGGGAAAGCCAAGCCTTAAATACCATTCCCAATAGTGTTTCCAATAGTCGAAGTTCGCATTGCGATAGTCGAAGTTCGCGTTGCGAATCTGGAAATTGATTTGCGATACCGGAGATCGCATTGCGAATTATCGATCGCATTGCGAATTATCGATCGTATTGCGATTTAATTGGTCATTTTGACAAATCCAAAAAAAGTTGGTTAAAATCGTATATTATAAAGCATTTTTGGTCAATGAGGTTATTTTCTCTTTTAAATAACATATGTTATGTCCATACTTATTTATGCTCGAAACTCGACCAGATTTCTAAGATGAAAACTCACATTTGACCCAACCTAATATAAATATATATATTATTTTTAGTAAGTAGAATAGAAGCCCAATAGAAAAAGTATAAATATATTAGCATCATTATAATTATTTCAAAATATATAATCGATAATTATAGTATTAATTGGGATTGAGTTAAAAAAATGTACCTAAGCCTGAATTTAATATAAACTCATTCTAAAACTAGACCCGATTTAAACTCAAATCTCAAAAAGAATTCGAGCTTATAAAATTGGGTCGGATTAAAATCTATAAAATTTAAATCAAGCGTTCATTCTAAATAAATATACTTTGTTTTCTCCCGGCAACTTGGAACAAAGAATTCCAAATGATTTTGCTGCATGACAGTGCTTGAAATATTTGAAATTTCTGGTCTCTTGTTTTTACTTTTGAATTTTTCTTTATATAACATTTGAAAATTATGTGTTTTCATATAATTTCAAAACCCTACCAAACATTTTTTCCATATTTTTTTTAAAGGGAAGAAAAACCATTTGCAAATACATACAAAAATTTAACCAACTTGAAAGAGTTTTCTTGTTCAAACGGGGGTAAAGGGAAAGCAAAAACACCGGTCAACCCGTACTCGTCATAGCCCTTTGACATTTTCTCACCTCCCAAACACAACTATTTTTACTTTATATTCAACTCTTACCTATCTACCCAACTTACTTGTTGCATATTAATTAGATGTTAATTTTTGAAAAATTATATATAAAATAATTTCAAACAAATTTTTGATTCCGTTAGACAAATCTTGGAAGATAATATATCTGTAGGGATAAAATTTAAAAAAAGATAAATATAAATAAAATGATGGTTATAGTTTAATTGTTAAGGCATAATTTAAAATTAAATTGGAGGGTTTATGATCTGATTTGTTTAATTTTAAAATTAAAAGACCTGGAATATCTAAACCGAAAAATGGCAGTTAAGGCTTAATTTGTCTAGTTTCAAAACTAAGAGGGGCCTAAAATGCAATTGTACGACAAAATTAGAGTATTATCTAATTCACCTAACTTCAAAATTAAGAAGTCTGAAAAGCAACTGAATCCAAACATTAGGGAGCAAAACTTAATTAATCTGGCATTAAAATTAAGAGGGATCTAACCTAAAATAATGTCGGTTAATTTGGTCGGAGTTTTGAATTTTCACTTGCCAAAGTTGTTAAACGTTTGACATTTACGTGAAGGTTCCTTCTCATTTCCTTCCTAAAATTTGTCGGTTAAACGTTTGACAAAATAATATTTACAAACTTCTTTAAACATCGTCTGATCATGAATTTTATTTGAGATTATTAAGACTCGGTGTTAATCGTGAGAACAATAATAAATTTCTTTATACATGGACTAATCATGAAATTCATCCTTTTTACTTTCTGAAAATTAAAAATAGTTCTTTATTTTAATTTATTACAATTTAAACATTTTATTTTATAAAAATTGAGAAGCTAGTCCAATTAAATAACACAATTTCATACAATTAGATCCACCTATTTAAACACAGTATACATAGAGATGAGCATGGATCAAATCAAGTTTTTGGCCGGTTCAAACTTGAATATTTTACCCCTCCATTCGTCAACCGATATGAAATCTGACATAAATCATTGAAGTAAAAATAAACACCTAACTCGACCCAGCTGACATGAGTGTATATATATATATATATATATATATATATATATATATATATATATATATATATAATTCTCATTTCATTAAATAAAATAAGGATATAATTGAAAAACAATATAGAGATAGATATATTATTGCAATTATCATTTATATATAAGAGACGATTATACTATCATCTCGAATTGAGTCATATATTTTCATCATAAATTTGAATATGAATCTGACATGATCTAGTTAAAATAATAACTCGATCCTATAAGGTTGATTTAGATCCAAATCTCATACCCATCCCTAGATATAGGTCTAAGTCCGAAATTAAAACATAATGTTTGAATTCAAGATCACAATGTTAAAATGGTTTGATTGATACAATATTAGAAATCCTTGATATAGTTGCCCTAATCTGAATCACTAGACAGAGTGGATGTGTGTGTTGGTGGTGGTGAATGATGGTGTAAAGCCATTAACCACAGTACGTGCAATACTAAAACCTTTTCAACGTTTTAAATGGTTGCTCTACCAATCCCACAACCGGTCCTATCAAACACTAGGAGTTATATACGGTGGGTGACATGAATTGTCGCTCACCTACTGCATTTCCACATGTATATTGCGTTGCACTCGGAATCATGGAGGATGTAAGTCAACGACACATAATTTTATATTAAAGAAGTGAATTTATAAAATTTTAGACGATGAAAATATATTATTAGTTAAAAATATAAAAAAAATCTAAAATATATGTTAATTTAAATTTTCAGGAGGATGACTGTCTTATCTGCCCCTTCGATCCATCCCTGAATTTTTTTATTAGTATGAGGTAAGTACAATGCAGTATCTATTCAAAGATAACTCTCAATTTTTTTACATTGAACGCTCGTACTCCTAACATTTCTAATGCTTGAACCCGAGACCTCAAAGAATAAGAACAATTCCTTTACCACCGAGGTCACTAGATTCAAAAGAATACAACACGAGGAGATCACCTATCCTATTACTATTCTCGCCCAAACACACTTAATTGCAGAATATCCCTGAGAAAATAGGGTTAGTATTTAATTGAACATGCGATGATCCGAAACATTAACAAGTAAAGATTTAATTAAACTAAGAAAGACTTAAAAGTTAATTAAACCTAAAAGTTTGTGGGAACCATAACCCTTATCACATTACATTTTACACATAACTCCGTCACGGGACATAATCTACAAATAACAAACCTCAAATTTTAAAATTTTCTAAACTTCAACCTTAGCATTAAACTCAGAAATCGTAAGATTGAGTGTAACGATTCAACCCTGTCTTAAATATAAATCCTGTATGATTTTTAATAACTCGAAATTTTAGATTTTATCAACTTTAATAATATCTTGTATGATATTTTCATTGTATAAATATAAATTTTCATTTATAAATAAAATCTTGAATTGAATTTCTGCGTCAAATATTACCAATTAAATTTAAATTAAACGCTCAAACGTGAATCAAATGTCATATATTTCACACTGTGAACCTCACAACATGTTGAAACACATTAAAAAAGCTGTCATTATGTCAATGGGACTTGCCTCCATTTTCTCCACTATAAGACAAGGGTGGACATTAACAGATCAGAGGGCCTGGTCACTAATAATTTTAATTATATTTTATTTTTTTAAGGAAAATCTCATTAAATCTCGATCTTTTAAAAATTTAATTTAGACCCTTATTTTTTTTATAAATTTAACCTCCTAATTTTTAAAAAAAACCTCCAAATTATATTATCAAAATCAGTCGCTACTATAAGATACTTCACTCAATTGATCTAATCTTTCCGACGGTCGATGAAAACAGCAAAATAAAATTTTATAAATCTGATGCTTTTGAATTAATTATTATCCATTTTTATTTTTTAATTTAAATCTTTTTTAGGTTCCTATTAATTTTGATAATAGATTAGACTGTTAATATTCTCATTCTTTTAAACTAAATATCTTTTAGATTTTTGTTAATTTTTTATTAATCTAGAGTAAATACAAATAGTATTTTATACTTGTATATGTGTGATGTTCGAACCCATAATCCAAAGAGATAATAATAATCCCCTAATCACTGACATCGCTTTGTTCGTTCTAGTCTATGTCAATTTTAAATTTAAGCAAAATAAATCTTAATCTTCAAATTTTAAATTTTAAATTTTAAATTTTGACTTAACAAACATATCTCGACCTAATTTTTATTATTATTTACATTTCTGTCAGTCTATCATCGTAATTTTATCCTTGTGCTTAACTCATTAGCCGTCAAATTTTTTAAAAAAATTAAACAGCTTTTACCTAGAGGGAGAATTTTACTCCTAAAAGTATTGAACTCATAATCTAGGGGAGTAAAAATGTGTGAACCGAAAATTTTTAACCATTTATTTTAAAGGTTGTTGAAATCAACAAATCCAAATTAAATTCAATAAAATTTCATTACTAAATGACGCCAGACAGAGTAGTGATTATTCTGCAGGCGCTCCAACAGATGATTCACAAGAGAAAATTCGTCCAAAAAACCAGAGAAAAAAAGTCTCTAGGGTTTAATAAAATATTATAAAATCAAACAATGCCCAAAATCAGTCCACAAGCCGGACTGTTATAGCCAAAAATCGTCTTTATTCGAATTTTGCCAAAAATAGCAAAATCCCGAAAATCACTCTAAATTGAAATTCGAAATAAAATAAGCAATCTCCAAAAAATCCGGCCTAAATCGGATTTAAATTGACTTCCTAATTGACAATCGAAATATTATCATAAATAGTAAAAAATATCTAAATCTAGTGATTCAGAGGGGAAAACGGCAGAATTTGAGGTTGAAAAAAAAGGTCACATGGAGCGTATGTGTAGAGCGTGCGCATCGAAAAGAGCTTTCCGGATTGGGGTCTTATGCGCGATTCTGACACCTGTAGCCAAAGTTATAGCCAAAAGACTGAAACATACTCAAAACGACCCCAATGAGAAACATATCACAATCAATTCCCGCATTTGCGCTGATCTGCCAATTCATGATATCTCAACGCCATCAAGGTGCAATCTGACAGCTCAGCATCATCTGTCTCGGATCTCCTGCATCACTAAACCATCCCAAATCATAAAAATGAGTTTTAATTTAAAAAGAGAAATATATTATTTGGAGTGTCAAACCGAGTGGATCCGATGTTTCGTGAAGTCCCATAATGATTAAAGTTCGAGTCAAACAAAACGAGTACGTTTTGGCTAAGATCAAGAGATTTTATGCTATGATATCTCCAATAATTCACATGCAACCATGTGCTTATCTCTCACACTACAAGGAAATAATTATTATTTTAATTCCTTTTAAATAATTGAAGCGTGCATTTCGTGTTGAGCCATTTAACTTGATTTTCTTTAATTAATTAATTATTGTGTTCATTAGCCAATCAGTTAGTTAGACTTAACGCTGCATGTGACCATCCTTTCGTATAAATTAAAAAATTGTCAATATTTATTAGAGCTAGAAAATTGAAAGCCACAATGAAAACACGTACGCACGAGAGTGAGACTGAAAAGGTGGGGCCTAAAACCATACATGATTTTCAACAAAATGACATCGACCACTCCATGCACCGACCATGCCTATTTAATTAAGCTTTTAGAAACACAAAAAAATAAACTTTAATTATTAAAAGAAAAGTTGATTTTAAAATATCAGATAAATCATTTGTAGACCATAATTTTCAGAAACCTCGTCTAACAAACGTGGGTTTGAGAGCCACATCAGCAACACCACGTTGACAAAGCAAGGCATAAATGCTAACACATCCAACATACAAGATGCTTACGGGAAAAAATGGCCTTAACATGGACAAAACACTCAAGGAGAAGGGCATGAAAATTTAGATGGTTAGTACTTCATACTTTTGAACACATCCAACAAAAAATGGAGCAAAAATATCAGCCGTCGAGCCACCTAGCTACTCTGTACAACATATCAACAGCAAAAGGTATTGACCCACCTACCTGTTCTACATCGAGTCAACAACCTGGTCTGTTCGAGATAGTTACAGCAAGACAGGCATATTAACAACAGCAAAAAGATTACCTTACTTTTCCGGTTGTAATCAGTTCCCTCTATTACCCTTTGGAGATTCTTTGCCCGTCATATTCTTCCATTTATCTTTAAGGTCTGCTGGCATACGAGTTGAGTGGAAAACGGAATGACCCTGCTCCAAAATTTTCCTCCAAGGGATGTTCTTGTGTACTTTACTTGCAAACGTAGGCACTAACTCCTGCAATCAAGAAAATGAGTTCTTGCAGACTTGTCCATCCAATAAGTGTAGCCAGGAAACAAGCATGCGTAAACACTAGCGAAAAGTTCAATCTAGGAAAACACATGAGTCAGACCACTTCAACTTTCAAGATATGCTGCACCGTCTTACCAATTGTTAAAATAAAGAACATGGCAGGGCAAGTAGGAAACTTTTTGTTAGCATAACCACAACTAAGAAAACCATATTTGTGCATATGAGCGTGCCTGAAGCCGACAAATTAAATATTCTACATTTAAAGGGACCTTTCTCAGGATCATGAACTGAGGGGTGACATCCTTTTAACGGGTTAGCAGAGGATGAAGGGAAGCTTTTACAAAATATCATAAAAAATTAAAGGGGAAAAACAGGAATACAAGTTAAAAAATGAAAGTTTCATTTCAAATGTAATGAAAAATAAAGGAAATGGGAAAATAGCATAAATCAAGTTGAACCTATTCCAAAGTTAATACATGTTGGCAAATAAAGAATTTGAAGGGGGGTGGGAATGAAGTGTTCATAAGTTTATACCTTTAGCATCTCTTCATCTTCCGCTGTCCAGTTTGGTCTCTTACGCTTTCCAGCATCCATCAAAATTGGGATCATGCTGCAACTAGATGAACAAAATAAAGTAAATTTACAGTAATGGTATGTAACAAAAAACCAAGGCCCTAACTATGGTACATGCAATGTCAAGACGGATCTCTGTTGAATGTTACCTTGCTTAAACAAAATGTAAAACCATGACTAACTTACGGTGGGTTGGCTGATTTTTGGCATTCCACAGAAGTTTTTGTTGTTGCACTGTTTCCCTCTTGGTTCATATTCATATTCATATTCTCTACACTGGATCTTTTATCTGTTTGTTTCTCAAGCTTTTCACCCGCTCCAAGATTCTCAGTAACTAAATCAGGTGAGAAAAACTCAAAACTTTAGACTGCAGGCACCTCGGATGCCATGCTAGTTCCAACTGGATTTTGGAGCTCTGGCTCTTCCTTGTCCCTCGCCCCTTGTTTCTCTTCCAACGATCCTACAATGTCAAAAGTTTCTTTCCTCAATACATGAAACGTGTCTTCCATGATTCCTACATGGCTTGAACTGGATGGTCGTATTTGCTGCTGGTCCTCATCAATTGCATCATCTTTGCTACCAGAAGATTTTTGGATATCCTCTACCACCTTTTCTCCTTTCCCAGCATTGTCAAACCCATCAGCTCTGGAGATGCTTCCCTCATCACATTTTTCTTCACCATCATTTTGCTCGTTTCCATGATCTCCAGCACTCACTTCCCCTTCCATTGCTGATACAGGAGCTCCTTTCATTTTATTTTCTTTACTTCCACCATCCCTTATCAAACATATAAAGTTGAACAACCCCTCCGCAGCCAACATAAATTTCATTCTCAACTCTTTGAACCTGGTCATTTCTTGCTTGTACAAACAATAAGGGCAGTAGAATGTACCCATATCATCAAGTTCGGGTTTCCAAGTCATGCACACCTCATGAAAAGTAAGTGGGCAGTCATTTTCCCTGCAGAACAAAACCTGGCCACTTCTGCTTTTGCATTCAATACAATACTCCCCTTTTAACCAATCAACGGCAATACAGCCTTCAGGATGGTTTCCCCTTGTACATCTATCCACCATCTCAATATCATCATCCTTCTCCTCCTCATCAACATCCACATGGGCATCATCCCCACCATTGCTATTATTACCATTATCTCGACCGGATCCAATATCCTCAGATGCTCCACGATTCTTACCATCCACATGATATTGTCCATCAGCTTCATCCTATGCCAAAAGATCATCATACCAAATTAGCATAAACGAATCAAATAAGCCTGACATTCAGCAACGTATAACATTTAGTTTCACATCTCAGACTTCGACAAAACGTGAAAAATGCTTCAATCTCTTAAGAAAGTCACAAAGCACGTTCCTAGAATATTTGATTTTCTCGAAAAATAACAGGAGTTCATGCTACTAAATTAATTATTATCTCTAGAGCTTTAAATAAAGGTGGAGTAACAGTGTAAGAGTGCCGTCCGCCACCACTGAAGAAGTCAATAGCAAGTTTGAACAATCTTCACGGCCACAAGTAGCAATGTAACGGAAAATAATGACGAATCGCTATATCCGTTAAATGGTATATATATATATATATATATGTTTGCATCCACTTATAAAATGGAAAATTTGAGTTATAATTTTTTTTTTACTAAAAATATACTCTTTTTTATTTAGTCCATTAACTTTATATTTTATTCAATTTAATCTTTTGACTGCAATTGTTTACAATTTTTTTTCCTATCAATTCATTGACTCCTTTATACTCTCATCCTTTTTTACCTCAAAATACTTTCTTTAAAATATAATATTGTAAATATATTTTATAATTTTAGATTATATTTTATATGAAATAATATTATAATATGAAAAGATTATGAAGATATATATATATCTTATATAGTTAGAGAAAGTAGAAAAATTATAATCAATCCTTACCATAATACTATATATAATTATAATAAAATTTGTATAGAAACTCGAATAACTTGACCTAAATTTCTTAAACTCGACTAAAAAAAATTTCAAGTTAAATTCGAATCATAAAATATGACTCGTCAATTCGAATAATCAAAATTTTTTGACTTACCTCAACCAAATGCTTACCCCTAGTTTTCTTCGCCCACAAAGAAACCAAAACGGTGTCGCTTGACTTTATTTTCTTCAAGGGAATACATAAAATTCGAATTAAAAAACATTAGCCTTTTCCTTCCTTTTACGTTACAATAACACTAATTGTTATGGTTTTATAGAGTTATTTTGATACGGGATGAAAATTCTTTGCTATTTTTTTTATTTAAAAGGGTAATATCGTCATTTTTAATCAACCGTCTATTATTTATAGTTTATTTCATTTTTTTCCTCCATCCTCTTCTTTTTTTTAATAAATATGCATTTTTTTTTAATTTTTTGTGTATTTATATTTATAATTATTTCCTCTAGTCATAAACCATGATTGCAGTAGCCATTCTGAGTAACCCACACAAGTACTTTGTTATGACAAGCATAATACTTGCATATAATATACTAATGATATGCACTTGACCCTTGAGCATTTATGCTCTATCTTTTGTCCGATTCAGAAGAGATGGTAACTCTATTTACAAGGCAAGAACAAACATGGTTGCTTCAACCCAAAGAAACATTTTTTGCAGTTCATTTGTGTGAGATAAGATAGAAAGGGAACAAACGGTACCTACACAACATAACGTGTGTTGTGTTGTGCAACTGTAGTTTTCAGTAGACATGGATGTCCACACTAATAGTACGTTCGAGGAAGGTGCTTTCTGTGCTGAAATCTTTTGATGTGCTTGGCCGCTTATCAACGAGCATGAGATTATTGCTAGTGTTGCCTGACCAACTACTCTAACCCGATAAACCACACTTAGATCTGCCCATATTCTACTTTCGGCGGAACCTGGTTCAAGACTTTGGTCATATCCGTCAAGATCGGCTTCTGTCACCACCACAACCGAACCATCATCAAAAGCCACAAGTTCTTGTGAAGATGCCAAGTCTGAAGTTCTTAAAATTAAATCCATCACATGGTCGCCGAGGCCAATTTTAAGATAGTAGAACTCTTCAACAGCTTAAAATCACAACAAAGAAAGAGAGAAATCGAACCCCTTGGTTCAGAAATCATGGTTATGACTCATGATTAAAACAAGTATGGATTCATTATTACGTACAAAATAATTCTTATTTTCTACTTGATCATCTTCTCCAGCTCTTTCCACCCCTGCCCGTTCCTTCAATTCCTCAATATACATAACCCAGAAATTGAAAAGAACTTAAACGTATGCACAAAATTACAAACCCTAAGCAGAAAAGGGAAACCCAAAAAAGTATTGAAATATTTACAATCCTTTTCAAATACAAACCCTAAAGATTGAAGATTGAACAAGAGTCTGTACAAAATATGAAATCAATCGTAACTGACGTGGGAAGAACTGGATTAGGGATTCGGAAAGAAACCGCCAAAATAATTTTGAAAACTAGGGTCGATCAGACGGCGGAAACAATCCAGAGATTACGTCGCTTGATCGAACGGTGACCAATTGATGCAAATTGAGAATTTTTAACAAAAAAGTGTGCCTGGTAAGCCCTAATCCCTGATTTTCTTTTCCCGATTATCTTGGTGGAAAATCGTGAAGAGATGATTTGCTGGATTCGACTCCGTTCTTTACACTTGCAATTTACACACTTCGAGAAATAAGGGGAAAAAATAGAGGCGAAATTCCGAAGGTGATGAATTTATTTCATCTGGGGGAGGGAGGTGATCTAAAATGGCGGGGATGATTGGCAGCTAGTTCTGACAAGTGTGTAATGTAATGACACGTGTTGAAATGAGTTCGGGAGGCATTTGCTACGCATTCTTAGGCTTACTTAATGGAATTGTGAAAAATAAAAGAAAATCGCCTCAGTCACCAAAAATGTTTTATAATATACGATTTTAATCAATTTTTTTTGGATTTACCAAAATGATCAACAAAATCGCAATGCGATCGCTAATTCGCAACGCGATCTCCATTATCGCAAATTCGTGTTGCATTTCGTGTTGCGATAGTTGGAAATCGCGTTGCGATGGTCTACAGTGTCGTTGCGATTTTCCCAATTCGTAATGCGAATAAGTAAATCGCAACGCGAATTGGTAAAATCGCAATGCGATACTGACTATCGCAACGCGATAATACAAAATCGCAACGCGATACTGACTTTCGCAACGCGATTCTGACTTTCGCAACGAGATAATACAGAATCGCAATGCGATTTTCAAAGTTCGCAACAGGTTTTAGTTTCGCAACACAAATTTTTTGGGTATATATCTACGCAGCAGCAACAACTCATAACCTAAATCCCTAAATCGCAACTAATTCCATCTCCATCTTTCATTCTCTCTGGCGACATCCGTTCCTATATTCGTTCCTACATCCTTCCCCATCTGGCAACAGGTCTTAGTTTCGCAGCTCGTTTGTTTAGTAAATTAATTTACAACCATGAAATCATCTAATGTTGATCATGTTTGGATAGATTTGTGTTTTGGAGGGTCATGGGAGAATGTTCATGGTGTTTTACAATATATGCCTTTACCCATGAATCTTCAACTAAAACTGTCATTAAAAAAATTAACTTATGAAACTCTAATGTTACGTGTTTCAAAGAAATTGAATTTAGATCCCCTAAGTGGATTTAGGCTATCTTATCAGAGAAATGGTAAAGTTTATTTGTTAACCGACAATGAAAATATTGAACGATTCATTGCTTACATTAGTGTTTCAAGTGATGATGTTACATTGTATGTTGTTGAACCTAGAAGTAGTATTGTTGGGTCAGTAGCGGGTAGTAATCAACTAAGTTTTTCTCAAAACCCACAACCTTTCTCTAATCCAAATCCCAATCAACTTTCAGCACCAAATTCTGGTTTTCGTATTGACCAATTAGACGATGATGAGCCAACAGAAAAAATTGTGAGTACTAGTCAGTATTCGAAATTTGATCTTGGTCAATACCCGGACTTTGATATTGGTCAATACTCGGATTTTGATGATGTTTCAGAAGAAGAAACAGACCCTGCATGTAATGATTTTGATATTGGTCAATTCCCGAATTTTGATGATGAAACAGCCGTTGCCGAGGAAGATGTTGTTGATGATAATGAGGAGGAAGTTACGACTGTGAATGAACATGTTGAACATCCATTCTGTAATTCATATAATCCTGAAGAAGAAAAAGAAGAAGAAAAAGTCCCCGAAGAAAAGAAAATGCCACGGGAGTATAACTGGAATATGCCAGAATTACTTCAGATACCGGAAGAAGAGTTGGTAAAGAAAGCAGTTGATTGTTACACAAAAGTTATTCGTATAAAGAAAGATGATTGTTTTGATACAAAGGAAGACTTCAGAATTACTTTTATTGATAAACATACATGTTCAAGAACCCACGTTTTTCCTCACCATAGACAGGCAAACAAAAAGGTGTTGGGTGGTTTTCTGGCTGAGTTAATGTTTTTGAATGGCAGGGTGTATCGGGGACATGAAATTATGACTGACATGAATGCTCGATTCAAGATTAGTATATCATATTCTCAAGCTTGGAGAGCCAAATGTTATGCCTTGGAATTGTTGAGGGGGTCGCCAGAAGCATCGTTTGCCCAACTGCCGGCTTATTGTCACAATTTAAAGCTGAAAAATTCTGGGTCGGTAACTCATATCAAAACAGATAGAGATGGACGCTTTGAGTTGTTGTTTATCGCCATTGGTGCTGCGGTTAGTAAATTAATATAATTATGTTGACTCATTTTTGTTAGTTACATGCATTTCACATTTAAATGATTATATTTCTTGTGTATATTATTTTGTAGATTCGTTCGTTTATTACTTGCATGCGCCCAGTTATTATAGTTGACGGAGCACATTTGAAAGGTCGATACCTTGGAGTAAACTTATTAGCAGTAGCCATGGATGCTAACAATGGGATATTATCAATAGCTTACGGGGTTGGCAAATCTGAAACCTCTGATTCATGGACATGGTTTATGGGGCATCTTAGGGATTGCATAGGTCCTATTAGCAATCTGACAATCATATCCGATAGGGCAAACTCAATTGACAACGCTGTTAGAAGGTGTTTTTCATATGCTTTTCATGGACTTTGTGGTGTTCATTTGTATAGAAATCTAAAATCAAGGTCTGCTGGTATAAAAAAGCACAAATGGACATACTGGAAGGCTGTAAAAGCTTATCGGGAAGTGGATTTCAATAAGCATATAAACTGTTTAAGACGTGTTTTGTCTCAGTGTGCTCAAACACTAGAAGATGTCGGGTTTGAAAGATGGTCAAGAGTACATCAACTTGGAGCAAGATATGGTTTCATGACGTCTAATAGTGTAGAATCAATCAACGCTCTAAGTCGTTATTCCCGGAAATTACCCATTACTATGTTAATGGAGTTTTTTCAAGCCTCTATTCAACAGTGGTACTACAAGAAAAGAAACCATGCATGTATTATTTCTTTGAATTCGTAACTTATCATATATTTTACTAAGTTTTATTTATTTAAATTTACAGGAACATTGGAACATCGTGTTACACCATGGACTGAAAAAAAGATAACGAAACGTGTTGTGAAGTCAACGTCATGGAGAGTTGAACCATGTTCAAACACTTTGTTTGAAGTACTGGATAATAACTTAAATGGGCTTGTCGATCTAAATGCAAGGACGTGTAGTTGTATGAAATGGCAAACATCTGGTTATCCATGTGGCCATGTTATAAAAGTTGCTCTTCATCTAAACCAAGATGATTCAAGCACATACGCTATGGATTGCTACACTATAGAAGTATATCGATAGACTTATGCTGAGATTGTCTACCCTATTCCACATCCTTCTGAGTGGGACATACCAAATGACTTACAAACAGTTTTGCCACCAGCCATGGACAGAAGGCTACCTGGCCGACCAAAAATTCACGATCGTATACCGTCTAAGGGTGAAGAGAATAAGAGATCGACATGTAGTCGGTGCAAGGAAAGTGGTCATACAAGGTTGACATGTGGATCACCAGTGCCATCACAATCATCTTTTCCTCTACCAAAATATAGATCATCATCAAAATCTAAAGCTCATATGGTGTCAAGAAAAAGGCAATCAAAATCGCAATCATCTTTAAAATCCCAATCACAACTGGCTTCACCTTTTGGGACTGTTAATTTAGGTGATTTTTAAATGCAAACGTTGTATTATGTAGATTTTATGTGTGAACTTTTAACATTTTCAGTTAGGCATGTATTAGTAACTTGAGTTTGAAAATTGCTATGATCTGTTCAGTTGTTATCACTTAATAGGCAATCATCTTAATGTCTATCGCAACGCGGAAATTACTATCGCAATGCGAAATGAAAATCGCAACGAGAGAATCGCAATGCGAAATGAAAATCGCAACGAGGGAATCGCAATGCGAAATGAAAATCGCAATGCGAATTTAATTTCGCGTTGCGATTTTCATTTCGCGTTGCGATTCCCTCGTTGCGATTTTCATTTCGCATTGCGATAGTACTTTTTGCCTTCAACATAATGCAGATTGAAATCAACGAAATCAACCATTACATTTCAATCAATTAAACAAGCACAAATAAGAATTATGTTAACATCAATTAAACAAATCAACTTTTACAAATCACCTTTTACAAATCAATTAAACAATAAAAAATAAGCAATAATTCTTATTTCCTCATCTACTATTGAATCAACTTTTGCAGCCATACATCATTTTCACGCAGCTCACTTCTGAGATTAACCTGCATAAACCAAACATTTGCTCAAACAACACTTTCTACACAT